GCCAGGGCCGCCAGCTCGGGCGCCGCTGGGCTCTGCTCGGGGTGTAAATACGGAGCCGTCGCCTTAGGCGCCTGCTGACGGTAAACGGAAACCATTGAGAGAAAATTTTGCATAAATACACCCAAAGCGTGCAGTCCTTCCACATCTGGCACCAGGCGGTGTAAATGCCCCGTGTTTAGCTCCTCTCAGACCTGGGCGGTAGAAATCCCCAGCTGCTGATCTCGGCGGCCCTGTCGAGGTGCAGCTCCCGCAGCACTTCGGCTTCCTGTGCTGTCACCAGGAGGGGTCTGGCGGCCCGGCCCGGCCCGGCCTGGCCTGACCCAGCCGCATGCGCTGGACCTGGGTCTCTGCATGCAGACGGGGTGTTGGGCTCCGTACACAAACCCCATAGTCGTGTTCCTGGGCTAGTTATCTGCTTTTGCAAGCCGGACTGCGACCGTTCATTTTATGGGGTCAGATAAGTGTCCCCGTTCCTGTCTCTGAAATCAAGAGAGAAAAGGTCAAGACAAGTGGAGAGAGAGAGCACCTTGCTGGGGGGAGCCTTGGGAAGGGAGGAAAATATGAGAGGAAATAGGAGCTGCCTTCTGCCATCAACAGATTGTTACTTTGTTTCAATGTAGCTGCACTCTTAAATATTGTGAAACCACCTAAAAAACCACTACTGCTTTGTAGCAATATAGGCCTTTCCTAAGTCTGTCTGTTCCTGAGTTGTCATGGAGACATGCAATATAAAAGGAGCTGGAAATTCCCAAGGCAGAGGTGGGGGGATCCTTTTCAGATAAGAGATGTGAAAGGTGCTTTGGAAATCTAGGTGGTGGCTTCTTGCTGGATGTGAGCTGACACAAAGTCTGTTTGATCTCTGTGCCTGAGACCGTGCCTTCACCCTGATTCCAGAGCTGGCTCATTGAGAGCCCTCACTGACTGTGTGCTTTTAGCCAAGTAGGCCTCTGTATTGATTTTAAGCAAAACTGCAACCATCTGTTAATACATCACTGAACACTAAGTACGAAAGATAGCAGGAGCTCAGGACTAAACTTATTTACCTTGGTTTTAATTAATTGCAGCTATGCATGAATGTGGAAGTTTTGTGGCATCGCGTTCGAGACGTGAGAATAAGTCTAGAAGAGGCCAGCAAGCGGCACTGGAACGTCTGAAAAAGGCCAAAGCTGGTGAAAAAATAAAATATGAGGTGAAAATTAATTTTTTTTTTTTTAAAGTGAATGTGACCTGAGATGCCTAACTATCCTTTATATATATCAAAAAAGTTACATAAAACAAAACTGCTCTTCAGATCAACTTTTGTTCTTTAACCGCATTTTTTTTTTCAGCCTGTAACTGTAATTGTTTTGCTGCTTTCTAGTATCATGCATTTGTTTGCTCCTGTTTTCAAACTAAGCCAGTTTTATTAACTATCAATCAGACATGCTTGATATTACTTGATAACTGTCCCACAGGGAAAGACCAACTTTTAAAATTAATTATGTAATTAATGTTATGATAGGAAGTACTTTTTTTTTTCTTAGCTGCAAATTATTTAAAACTTTAAATGAATTTCAGAGCTTTACTTGACTGAGATCCATTTATACTGGTATGCAGTGTTTCCACAAAGAACCCAAAATTTTAAGTATTTAACTGGTAGAATTGAAATCTGTCAGTGTAACACTAATACTATCCAATTAATTGTAATGCCAACAGGAAGTGACTTCCACATTGAGGTGGATAAATCGAAAGAAGCTTGAAGTGCATAGATCATTAACGCATACATTTACTTTGAGGCATAAAAGATCAAATCACCTTTGTTTTCATTGACCTCATCTTGGTGTTTTATACCAGAGCCAGAGGTCAGAAGCTTCCATTGCTATGATTTTTTGGTGTGTTTTTTTTTTTTTTTTTTTTTTAAATTATTATTTATTTATTTTTATTCCTATATTTTTGTAATGTGAAGTGAACAATAAAGCTGTCAGTTTCAAATGAAATCTATGCCAGTGCTTCAGTAGATTCTGAGTTTCAGTATACTGTAATAATTTTAAAAATTGGCAACTTGTTTTTTGTCACTCCCAAAAACACTCCAAACCCCACCTTAAACTGAATTAATAACTGCGCTGACTAGTTGTGAGCAGTGTAGGAAACCATGCATTTCTTGGGAACTTTTATGTTGTTACTGCTGAGCTATATTAATAAGTATCAATATGGGAACTGATAATACTCAGTATACCTTAACCATAGGTTGAGGAGTTTGCAGGTGTTTATGATGAAATAGATGAGGAAGAATACTCCAAGATGGTCAGAGAACGTCAGGATGATGACTGGATTGTTGATGATGGTAAGTTAAGATTCATTTGGAGAGTTATTTTGATTAAAGTGTTAGAACTCAATTAGACTTCATAATGTTCATGATTTGAGCTAAGTTATAGCTAGTACATTCTCAAAAATTGTTTTAGGACACAAAAAGATAAGCTTTTGTATGGAAGTGAATCTTTTGCATTGTTCTTATAGTAGTGTATGAGGATGATAATGAAAATATTTTTCCATTATTTTCAGCTATTGTTGAAATTTTATTTCCAGTTATCAGTGATGTGACTTTAAAGAGAAGTACTGTAATTTATAATCTCTAATTAATCATGTAATAATATGTCTAATGGAAGATACGGCTGAGGGCACTGTAGTTTTTAAAACTGTTGCATTTATAACTTTTGCTCTATATTTAAGGGGAAAAATGTAAAACTTATGGTTATGAATATATTTAGAAATATCAGAAGAAAGAATTTAAAATGTAAGTATTTAACAATTCGTTTTTCTGCAGATGGAGTGGGTTATATAGAAGATGGAAGGGAAATCTTTGATGAAGATCTGGATGATGATGCTCTTGGTTCCAGTAAGAAAGGTGGGTTGAACATGACCACTGTAGACATGGCTTTTAGAAGGTACCTAGAATGGACAACTTCTTGGCATCAGTATGGGGTGAATATGGCCAAATGGTGTGTTTACTTAAAGCTCTAATTCTGTGTCTGTGACTGTGGATTTTGTTTGGCCCCTATTATACAGAAGACAGAGGTCCACAAATTGAGGTTGAATCACTGCTAACTACTTGAGCACTACCAGGACAATTTTGATTTTAGTCTTCTGTGGGATATATATTCACTTCTAGAACAAATGCATCTAGGAATGATCTTAATTTCCAAAGCCAGTGTCTAAAGGATGCGTGATCTCTCTTGCCACTAAATACTTGTATGCTTTTACAGATCTGGGATCAAATGATTTTGCCAACTCTTATGAAGTTGATGGCAAACTGAGAAATAGAGTCTAATGTCAAGAATCCAGGCCTGGTGCCAAACTCCTGGACACTTGTGTTTTTTCCGGAGATGCTTCTATGTGAAGTGTCTTGGTCCTTTGTCTGGAATATAAACTTGAATATGCAGAGATCATCGTTGATGTGACTAGGAGAGGGTGCTGGTAGGGTTTTGCTTTTTTGTGTGTATGACAGCCATTACAAAACTGACAGCAAATGAAAGATGATTTGGCTTCATTTCAGCCAGCAGTGTGAAGGTGGCAGAAACAGATCACCTCAGCTATCTGTTCCTGCTAATAATTGGACCCTTAAAGCTTTTCTAATGTAGAATTCTCAATTTTATATTTTTTCTCTAGGAAAAGGTGTCAAAACTTCTATGGCTAATAAAAAGAATGTGAAAAAATCTGTGGTGTCAAAGCCAAACACAATTAAGTCTATGTTTATGGCCAGCGCTGGGAAGAAAAACACAGATGTAAGTTTTTACATTTTCTACTTTAAAGATTTCCAACTTGTTTGCAGTGCTTTAGTGGGAGTGGTGTAAAACAAGGGCTTATTTTAGTTTCTTGTGTCTTGCAAGTCATAAATTATTACATTCTTGTGTATGGAGCATTCCTGAAAACGTTGTGTGTGTTTCGTAGAAATGCTTTGGTCATTTACTGCTGATCTCCTGATTGGGTTTGCACATATAAGAACTTTTTGGCAATGTGTTATCTTACAGAAAACTGTGGACCTGTCAAAGGATGATTTACTAGGGGATATTCTCCAAGATCTTAATGCTGAAGTAAGTATATTAATAAAATCTGCTTAACACTGTAAGCCATTAATTTTTCTTGCTGTGGAACATACCAAGAAAATAAAGTTCATCCTAGAATTTGTTCATCTAAGGTTGATTTCTTCCCTAGCACATCTGCTTGGTGTATATATGCAGTCTGCCTGTCATCTCCACCGTGCAGAAGTTGCATGACCCTATTGGTTTGATAAACTAGAAGTGCTATGTCCTGGTTAGAGCTAGATTCTACTAATGTGATGTAGAGGCTGTGCTAGTGCAGCCTGCTAGGTTAAGGTCAGCTTGGAGGGACAGGACTTACCTGCATCTGAATCGTGGATACCACATATGCATCGCCGCGATGCAGCCAGTATACGGTAGGGTATCTCCCTCTGGCATGTTTGGGTTCACAAGAGGAACTGAGGGAGGACTGTTTCAGGAGATGACAGCCTGAGCTTCTGTCTGCTGCCTCCTGCTTTCCATGGCATGCTACAGAGAACTGGATGAGAGTCCTCTGAGCTAGGAGTGCAGGATGGCTGCTGTAGTAGGGTTGGACAGTCTCACGTGAAGCTGTCCCGTGTCACTGATGACTTTTCAATGAGTTCATGCCCCTTCACTCGATTTCTTAAAGCTGAAAGGGTTGCTCATGTGTGAACCATGAAGCTGTGGTGGTGGTGTGATGCTGAACTGGAACAGGTTGTATTGTAATAAGCATAATGCATTCTTACAGGGCAGTATGAGGGGTAGGGGTGTTCCAACGTAAAATTGTGTTCTTGGCCTTGTGTCCTCACTGTTTTGTCCCTCCCAATGATATCTGACTGAGAGTTATGATATCTTAGGCTATCCAAAACTCTCAAATCATTAAGCAGATATATTTTAATGTCAATTTTTGGGGAGCAATGATCGGGGCAATAATGCTAATAATTACACTATGGCTTCTAATTACTTAAATAGTAGTTAGCTATCTTTTTTTGGCTTTGTTGCTTGTTGCTCTAAATTTTCTTGTTAGCTGTTGATAAGGATAAGTATAAAATATCTGTACATGTAAATAAATTAAAATGGGATTTCTCTAGTGTGACAGTGCCGAAAGAGCACTTCTGCCTTCTTAAGGCATGTGTGCTCAGTACTACTGTTTCAGTAGAGAGATGAGAACATCCTACCAGTTATTCTGATACTTGTGCATTAAAGGCATGGTTAGCTATTGAAATGCTCACTGTTTGAAAACTGTTCCCATATTGACGAGTTTTTCCTCTCAAACTGTTTACCAAAAAAAGTCTAGGGTCTGTCTTCATGGGTTGATAGCTCAGCTGTGTATCAGATGTGTCCTCTAGGCAAGTAAGTAATACTGGTGCCTTCTTTCTCTTTGATGCGAAGTGTTACTAACCAAGGCAAAAGAAAACCCTAAACAACACCTTTTCATTTTGTCGCTTTCTGTTTTCTTGCAATATTCAGACTGTTCAGATAAGTCCACCACCAATTATCATGCTGAAAAGGAAAAGATCTGCTGGACTACCACTGAATCCTTTCTCTGTACAGTCCCAAACTTCAAAGGTAAACGCAAAAAAAAATCCAAAAAGTTTTCACTAATAAGTGTTAATCTGTATTTTGGTTGGTTTTTGAATACTGTTGTCTTTTATTTCTGCTTCTAGAAATTAACTTTCTTGTTAGCTTCCCTAGCTTGTCTTTTCTTTCCATATTAATCCATAAACAGAATACAGCTGTCTTTGTATCTGTAGTATAGTAATAGTTTGTAGCTGTTGCATTTGTCACGTGAAAGTTTTTATAATGTTGAGTGCATCACATGAAGGTGAGCTGCTGCTTTGTCTCCTATTTGCCAAGAGTAGAAAAGACCTTTGTGGCGGGAAAAGGATGATGGAAAGTGAAATAAGCAGAAGAAAGAGTATTTGTGGGTGTAGAAAAGGATGAGAAACTCATCTTCTGCAGAAGTGGACAGCGAGCGGAAAATTGAAGCTATTGATACAAGTTTACTCTAGTGGAAGATTTTGGAGTGAAAGGAGGGTTGGGCTTCTAAGCATGGGAGGCTAGCATTTTCTTAAGAGTTCTGGTAAATGAGAAGGACTTTACAGCTGCAAATACAATGACATATGAGTCCATAGAGGGCAAACGGAGTAGAGTAGATAGATCTGATTTGTGAAACTGTGTAATCGTGACATCAACTCTTATGCTGAAAATAATCACCAGTGGCACTTGTTTCCACAGTTGTGTTGAAGCCTAGAAGCAATCAAAAAAGAAAAAAGGGGCTGAGAGAGTAAAAGAGGGTCTTTGTGTTTATGGTGCAAATCACAGTGGTCACTTCTAGTGAGAAATATTGAGAAGGAAACTAATTTCCAAACAGGCTATTCAGATGATAACTTCTTTGGTCCTAGGAGGAGGAATTGGAGGTTTTAGACAATGAAACAGATGAAGAGGATGAAGGATGTAGCCTTGGAAAATGAATGGGAATAAAACCCAAGGTGGCAACGATGCTTTCTACTTCAGGACATGAGCAGGAATAAAAGTATGAATAATTTCATTTGGCTGAGTTAGCAATAAGTTGTTGATGAAGGCAGATTAAGTCATGTTTGCTTTCTGTTCAAGGTGAGTGAAGGGCTGAGTTTGGTGTTGGCCACAGCAGAAGTAACTGTACTGAGATTAAAACTCCAGAAGTGATTGTGTGCAACTCTAAATTCTGTATCTGTAAATGACAACTTTCTTTAAAGATAAAGATTTTGGACCTTGCCACAGTTTAAGGGCCAGTAGATGCAGAGACTTGTTGGTCATGGTGGAGGCCACCTAATACGCATCTTCCATAAGAAGCAGTTCTGTAGCTGCTGCTCTAGTGATGTCCTGCCTGAAAAACAAAATATGCGCTTCTTGCCTTAGAGTTTAGGCTTGCAAAGCATGCTGAAATGTGGTTTCCTTGTTTTTCTCACTCTCCCTGTCATGTCTGTAGCGTGAAGAAGTTCCATGGAGAAGCACTGTCTTCTCGAGACCTGTGGTGTCCTGTAAGCATCTTGAACTCATTGCTGATATGAAGGGGTGTAATTTGCCATACTGGCCTTCCCCAGTTGCTCCAGGCTCTGTCACTGCCTGACATATATTGTCACATGCTCAGCTGACACACAGGTTTTAATTTAGGGATGGAGTAGTGATAGGTGGGAAAAATCATGAAAGTAACTGCCAGGTGGGGGGTCCTGCACTTTGGTCACAACTCTGGGCAATGCTACAGGCTTGGGGATAAGTGGCTGGAAAGCTGCCAGGCAGAAAAGGACCTAGGGCTGCTGGTGGACAGCTGACTGAACATGAGCCAGCAGTGTGGCCAGGTGGCCAAGAAGGCCAACAGCATCCTGGCCTGTATCAAAAACAGTGTGGCCAGCAGGATAAGAGAAGTGATCGTGCCCCTGTACTCAGCACTGGTGAGGCCACAGCTTGAGTACTGGGTTCAGTTTTGGGCACCACAGTAGAAGAAGGACATTGAGGTACTGGGGAAGGTCCAGAGAAGGGCAATGAAACTGGTGAAGGGTCTGGGGAACGTCTTACTAGGAGCAGCTGAGGGAACTGGGGTTGCTTAGAAAGAGGAGGCAGAGGGGAGACCTTCTCGCTCTCTACAACTACCTGGAAGGAGGATGTAGTGAGGTGGGTGTTGGTCTCTTGTCCCAGGTTGCTAGTGATAGGATAAGATGAAATGGGCTCAAATTGCACCAGGGGAAGTTTAGATTGGATATTAGGAAAAATTCATTTACTGAAAGAGTGGTGAGGCACTGGAACAGGCTGCCCAGGGAGGTGGTGGAGTCACCATCCCTGGAGGTGTTTAAAAAAAGGGTGTAGACGTGGCACATGGGGACATGGTAGTGTTGGGTTGATGGTTGGACTTGATGATCTCAGGTCTTTTCTAACCTTAATGATTCTATGATTCTATAAGCACGAACTTCATTAAATGTCAATTGTAAACTACTTTTTAAAATTACAGTAGAAATGCATCACAGTACAAATGATAGTATAGAATTTAAAGTTTACTTTTGAGGAGTTTTAGCTGCCATGCTGCAACGTATGTGGAGCTTTTCCTCTAGCCCTGCTTACTAGTTCTGCAAATAGTGACTGCTAAATTTTTTTTCCCTTTTTTTGCTTTTAAGATAATTTTTTTTAAACTCACGGGTAAAATGTCTTTCAGGTAATCACCCCTGTATCAAAGAAAGCTCCTGATCATCTCAGAAAGGAAACTCTTCCTCCAGCTGCATTTCATCCTAAACATCCCAATTACACAGCAAAATCTGTCATAGTCTCTGAAAAAGAGGATACTAAGTCTCTGCAAAAAGCTACTGAAAATGGGGGAATAGTGAAGACAATAGAAGAGAAAGTTACTGAAGGTATCAAAAAGAAATCAAAACCCAGTTCTGGAAACTTTAAATATGACATATTATTAATAAAACCCTTCTTAATTTATACTAGTTAGATGTTTCAATAGCTCATATATGATGCTTTATTAGTATACTACTTTCATGCATAAAAATGTACTTTATGCACACTGCTGTAGTATAATGGCTCAAGCCTTTAGTTTTATGTGTAACACTTCCAGATGATGATCAGGGAATGATGGATTTTGATGAGGAGGACTTTGATGAACCTATGGAATCAGAGCATGTGGAGACTAGACCTGAGACTACTGAAAACTCGAAGAGAGACAAGGAAATTGAAAAGAAAGAGACAGAGAAGTTGGAATCAGAGAAGAAAGAGACATCTACCTTGTAAGAATCTCTTTTTCTTTATTTTTCTTCCACCAGGAAGCTTTTCAGTATCCCAAAACTTTAGATCTATCTTCATATTTGTCTTTGCCAGTGGGATAGTTGTGATACAGACAGACTGATGATAATGCAATCTGAGTTTTTTTTGTAGTGATGTTAAAATGGTCACATTGAACATGCTGATAGCTACTTGATGGGAGAATACTTGGTGTTTTTTGGGATTTAGCACATGACATCATAACACTTTTCAGTACATTGAGGTGACTCAGTGTGGATATTGAACAATCAATGCCAATAGACAAAGATTAGAAATTGCTAAGGGTGCTTATTCTAAACAGCCCTGAAGACTGCTATGAAAACTATGAAACTAACATTTCATAATATTGTAGCTGAAAGTATTGTCAGTAAAAGTAATGTCACATGCTGAGCAGCTGTGGCTTTGAGAAGAGGTGGAAAGTTTCTTTCCCTTTTTTTTTTTTTGTTTTGTTTTTTTTTGTTTTTTTTTAATTATTTGGAATAATCTTCAATCATGTGTTGCCATAACTTGAAGCTTAAATATTTGAGTTATAAAAAAACCTTAAAACATTTAATGACTGAAAAGGTAGTTTTGTTGAAATAATCTGTTGTTCCCACTGAGCAGGTTGTGGGGATGGTTGGATATATTTGTTATGTAACAGCTTAAATGACCAAGGCTGAAATACGAGGTGTATGATTTTTAAAGCCTGTGCATTGTGTACTGAGAACTGTACTTGTATGTGGGTTTGTCTTTGTCACTCCATCCTTCTTTTCAGAAGAAATCTGAGGAAACCCAGCTGTTGGGAATGTTGCTTGGTAGTGGAAAGAGCAACTAAAGGTGTAAGAACATAGGGCTGAAAAAAATCAGCAGTGGTGGTTATAGCAAAGGCACAGTTTTACTTTGTGTTTCTTTCTTCTTCTGCAAAACCTGCAGAAGTTTTTCTCTCCCAGATATCTCATGTTGGGACAGAACTGATGAGGATGAAGATGTAGTGGTGACAGAGGTTCAGCTGGACCCTGATCTCCTTCCACTTGTGAATGGGGAAAACGATGAGCAAGTGTTAAGGTTTTATTGGCTGGATGCTTATGAAGATCAGTACAGTCAGCCAGGTAACTGTTCAGTTAAAGGCAGAAAATGCCATTCTGATTCTTTTTATGTAACTGAGACTTTCAGACTTGCATAAATTATGTCTAGCTACCCTGTCTCTCTGTTCTCTATAACTTGTACTTTCATCTCTTTTTTTTTTTCTATACTTGTGTCCTCAGTGCAGGGCACCATGACTGGGTGAAGTAAGAATGTCGTCTCTTGATCTAGTATAGTAGTAGGGAGGTACAGAGGGTGCTTCTAGCACTTCTTAATGTTGGTGACCTGCTGATTGGCCTTTTTAAAACCCTGAATACTTCAGGAATAAGCTGATGTTTATTTCTCAGTGGTGCAACCACTGAGCAATTAAAATTCTGATGGATTATTAGAAAGGAGGTTTAGGTTGGATATTAGGAAAAAATTCTTCATCAAGAGGGTTGTAAACCAGTGGAGGATTCTGCCCAGGGAAGTGGTGGAGTCACCATCCATGGAGGTATTTAAAAGGTGTGTAGATGAGGTGTTTAGAGGCATGGTTTAGTGGTGGACTTGGTAGTGATAGGTTAATGCTTGGACTTAATCATCTTACAGGTATTTTCCAACCAAAACGATTTTATGATTCTATGAAAATAGCAGTTGTACAGTTTTATACAGAGGAAAGGGATGTCTACCAAGGACAGAAGATGACCTTTAAAATACAAGGCCTATATAGATCCCTTTATTAAAACTGTCTAAATCTTGAAGATTGTTTTTGGATTAACATCCCAAAGACACTTTGTGCAGTTGAAGTGTGAATCTTAGCTCTCTTCAGAACTGCAGCATTCTGATTGCAGCCCTCACAAGTTGTGTTCACAGCTGTTCTAAGCACTTTCCATCCATCCTCTCATTGCATCAGCAACTTTTAGGATCTTTGGTTTCTAATTTGTGCTTCATGTAGGTTTACAGGAAGGTTCTTCCATGTGTTGTTGAAGTTTTTTTGGGTCGATGCTGAAAGCATTGAGTCAGAGATGTTTCTTTGTTACACCTGTTTTTGTGAGTTGGGATGCCAGACTTAAATATGAGACTGTGTTGGGCTGAGCAGCTTTGTGATGGGAGTGGTAATAACCATAGATATCTTGATGAAATCAATGGCTCTAATATAAAATTGCTACTTTTAAAGACCCAGCTATTGTTCTTTTTCACTTTTTTTTGTCTTCTAAGTCAGTGGTTGTTGAATGGAACATAATTATGAAAGGATTTCTGTTCCTCGCATGCAAGGAGTGTTCTTTTCTCATTATGACTTTTTCAGGATTGAATAATAAAGACTGCACCTGTTTTCGATTAGTAATGTAGAAGGGGAAATTTTGAGACTGCTTTTTGTTTAATATGTTCACGATCTTTGTTTATGCCTCATTTGCTGTGATGTCAAATGTATTGCTTGAAGAGCAAATACTATAGCATAATCATAAGACTCTTAGAAACTTAAGGATTTTTTTGTAGGCTTACTTTTCTTATCTCCCTTTACTATCTTAAGGAGTGAACTCAAAAATTGTAATCCTATTAACATTGTAAAGAAATAAAAAATAAAAGCTACCTTTTCTTTCCCTTCTGCAAGACATTTTCCCTGTCTCCTCACTTTGGTTCATTGGTAGCATGATCTTTTTACAGACTTTGTGTTTTATAAGCCTTACCCATTTTGTCTTTCTCTCTCTTTGTCTTTCCCTGGTAAGGTATTGTGGTTTGAGGCTTGGAA